ATGAAAGCAGATTTGTATCCATATACTACGATTTAGCTGTAGCCAGATCATAGTATATGCAGTCCATATAGCATGTATAGAAAAAAAATCAATATACGAATCTGGTTATAAATGTTTTATAGTAAAGGGTGTAAAATTCAAAAGTGGTGATTGTCTTTACATATACATATATATAAAAACATAGTATACTTTAGACTCAAAGGATCATCCATCAAACGAGCATGCATATATGAGTCAAGTGAAAAAAATTAATTTATTACAGAAACATTTTCTTACATCAAAATATTAAGGGGAGGGGTTCGGGTGTATATATATTAACTCATTTATTTAAATTTGTTCACCGAAGAGGCATTTTTGCACAAGGTAAAAGTTTTGAAGAACTTTCATAGACTAAAATTCTTCACCACGAAAATGATACAATTTTGATCCTTTCTTTTAAAATTGTATTCATAGTGTATAAGAAGATCAGGTTTTAGATTTAGATACCCATTGGCATACCGGCGGTCTGTTGAAATATCAATCTTTCAAGAAACATGTTGGCGATATATAAAAAGTCTTGCCGTTTGATGATATAATCTTTGGTGTAATTGTTTTTGGAATCAGTGGTGTTCTTAACAAAGTAAATTTGTCATGACCTAAACAGTCTATTACAGGAAAAGTGTATCTACGATTCTCATTTTTGTAGTAAACGTTCTGTTTAAAGAGACACGATTTATTCGATCTTTCCCCTGAACATGTGTAATAGTAGTAAAAAGCGTATGAAATCAAAAGTTTTCATATTACTGCAAAATGTTCTTGAAGATTTTGCAATAGATCAAAATACAACGCCCGTTTCATTTGACGGTGTGGCATATTAAATTTATACATTTTAGCTATCGTTTAAAATCCATACTGTTTTGAAGGAGTAACTCTAAATATTTCATACAATCAGTTGGGCACATGGTTTGATAAGCGATACAAAAAAGGGTAATTAGCGAGTAATAATACAATAGGACTTTTTTTTCAAATGTTTGATTGCAAAAAAGTATTGAAAAGTTATTTCAATAAAGCTGAGTAGGGAATTAATTTGAACCGTTTCTTGTCAAACAACAACAGCTGTTGGTTAATGTGTTATAATATAGATAATGATTCAAAAGAATCGTAATTGCATTTACAGACTGTACGTAATATTATAGACCGAAAATAATTTAATCGTCTTTTCAAATAACTAGTGCATTTTTTGTTTCATTAAACGTAAAAAATATGTACTTTAGATGTCTGTGCAATGTTGACTTAGCTGTAGATATTTTTGTGCTAATACGCGAATTTGATAATATTGCTGAGTAAAGGTGTCAGACCACCAATTCATCAACTTATTTAGAACGTATGTAAAAGTACCCCTTCCCTGACAAAAGATAGTACTTTTGATGTCATGGTTTACGTAAACTAACAAACAAATTTGCAGAAATGAAACTTTTGGTGAAAGAGAAATACATGTATATGTAGACCATTTTGAGCCAAAACTTACTCGTCCATAAGTTTGCATTAAAAATTGAAGATTAATGCGCTCCATAGTATACTTATTTAAGATTTCCAGAAAACCAGGGGTTATTTTTAGTAGTAATTGACTTCCGAACGGTAGTAAATCTTTACAAGACTTTAAAACATTGGTTGAAAATTGGCATGAAGAAAGAGGGTACATGTACAATTCAGGATATACCGGGTTTCTATGAAGTTAAACTTAAGGTAAAAGATTTAGAAAGCTGTGATAATTGCAAAATTTTAAATTTTGGTTGAATAGATAGGGATTTTGAATTGGTGGTCTGGTCTGACACCTAAAGACAATTATTTGATTGACGTCAGTCGAAAGATATTACACAGACAAGGATAAACTAAGGAATAAAAATTTCAACACTTTTTTTAAAAAGACAGACTCATGTTCGGCTAGAGTGCTGGCTTCTGCATGTTGATGCACAAGTTATTGTTGATATGCTAAAATAATATGATAAGTCATATTTTTGTTTAATTTTTTGTCGTCATACCGCTTAAATTATATTGACTTATACATTTGTAACAGTCTACTTTTACGTTTTTGAAATTTCTTTAGTTTCGCATTTAACAAACACATGTATTGTAAAAGCTACAGCTCAGATATGTAGATATTTTCAACAATACTTGCTGATATGTAGACGGTATTTCTGTTCGTATGGACCGACAACGCAATTAAGAATGTGGTAGGGGTGTTATGTGAAAACTACTCGGAAGTTCTTAATGATGAACCTATAAATTCTTCTTATATTTAAAGTCTTACGCTCGGAGAAAAGTCATCTATTAATCAATTATATTGTACCACTTCTAAACATTTAAAGCTCTCAACTATAATTTGCCTTCCTAAACTTCGTCGAATTGCGTTTAATCTCGCCTTCCAGTTAGCATTAGTCTTTCAATCATGTTGATAAGTTCCCTGACAATTTCTTAAGTACTCATCTTATGATTTCGTAATGAAGCATATAAAAATAATGGAACTAACTTTTGCTGGAGTGAAAAATTTATTCGGAAGTTTTTCTTAAAATTCGTGCATTTGACTAATTATAAAAAAAATCAATAAGAAGATGTGGTATGAGTGTCAATGAGACAACTCTCCATCCAAGTCACAATGTATAAAAAGTAAACAATTATAGATCAAAGTACGGCCTTCAACACGGAGTATTGGCTCACAAAAAACAGCATGCTATAAAAGGCCCCAAAAAGACTAGTGTAAAGCAATTCAAACAGGAAAACCAACGATCTAATCTATATAAAAAACGAGAAACACTTATGAACCACACCAACAAACGGCAACCACTGAACAACAGACTCCTGACTTAGGACAGGTGCATAAAAATTCAGCGGGTTTAAACGTTTTAACAGGCACTAACCTTCACCCTAACCCGAGACAGTAGTGTAACATTACAATATAAAAAGACACACTATAAAATATCCATTGAAATGGCTTTACTCGATCAAAAAGACATCTCCGTGTTGAAGGCCGTACCTTGACCAATAATGGTTTACTTTTATAAATTGTAACTTGGATGGAGAGTTGTCTCATTGGTACTCATACCACATCTTCCTATATCTATTTAAACAAAAACAAGTAAACATACACTGAACGAATAAGTTTGATCTATGACACAATATAAATACAATATTACTAAAAAAAAAGATGTAGGAACAGTGTCAAAAAGACAACTCTAACCTGGGACAAAATGGCGTTAAAGTCTGGATTCGTATGGCGATGATACTTGCATAGCAGGTGGTGCTTACATTGTCGACATTTCTGGTATCCTTCCCGTAAGAGGTTCATGTGATTCCCGCACTTTTTTATGGCCCACTGCAGCTTCGTTTTTGGGTTGCGTCACTTTTACCATTCTTGAGGTATATCCCTTTATAACTTTATATGCAAGCGGGGACATCACATGTGTCCTATGAACACATTCTCTATTTATTTTATCTTAATTTTCTGATTCAAAATGAATTAAGAAGAACTGATCATCGGTAAACTACTGGTACCGCTTATTTTAACGATCCCTTCTATTCTGTTGAAAGTAATTACTTTCGAATCTACACTACGCTCCCACAACATCCCATTCCAAGAAAGTTTTTTGATTAAATAGGATGTTTTTTTTCGAAATACCTGATTGTAAACATATTTGCTGCATCTCAAATAAAGCCTGATTCTTGATGAAAAAGATAAATGTATTAAATTATTTGTGGTATGATTGTTTTTCATTTAATATAAAAATAATGAGATATGGTATGATTGCTAATGAGACAACTATCAACCAAAGTTCAAATAAAGCGGATATAAGCAATTATAGGCAACCGTACGGCCTTCAACAATGAGAAAAATCCATACCGTATAGTCGGCTATAAAAGGCCCCGACATGAAAAATATGAAATAATTCAATTGAGAAAACTAACGGCCTAATTTATAACAAAACATTATACGAAAAACAAATAATGCTTGTTTTTGTTTCATGTTATTTCCTTTAATCAACCCGTGTTTTTTCTCGTGTATTGCTTTACATTGTAAAGCTCATATATAACATATAAAATGTATCGCTATCCAGTAATTTACACACGACATTTGACTTTCAGGTCTTAGTTTGGTTATTTGTGTATTTCGTCAATTTATTAGATTTTTTTTTCTGTATAATACCTATTTGATGAGTCAAGCACTTTTCATCTGATTTTTTAGTTTGTTTTAAAAATGTGCTTTTACACTATATTCATGGTTGGGCGAGGGTGAGTGCTCACAAACAAGCGTTTGACAAAACATTGCAAGGTAAATGCTTGACACCGGTTTCATTGCGTTGCGCATGACACGTGTTTCTGGAATGACTAGCATTAAGACCAACATTTTTCGAAGCCAAAGACATAAAGTAAATTATGAGCATCAAACCCATTCCGTAGAGGATAGAATGGTAAATGATAAGCACTATATAATTATATAAAGTAAGAACGGATAAAAACAACAAGCTCAAAAGAGACTGAATGGCATACTTGATACTCATGGGAATAAACGACAAGATTTCATTTATTTCACTTATCAATGTACGTTTTCAAGATAATAACCAAAAACATAAATGTGTAATATATCATTTGAGGAATAGATCATTGAATGATTTGGTCATGTTACGGCCTGATTTATGGTAAAAACAATTAACAAAAAACAAATACGTCTTTGAAAACTGCACGTTTCAATATAAAATTTAAAAATGGAAAAAATAGTCATTTCAATATAATAACTCCTACAGTATAATAATTTGTGCTCAAACTATATAGTGTTTGTGTGTATAGGTCTGCAACGGGACTTTGTACATTTCTGGTCACTTTTCAAAATAAATACAGGATATAATAGGTACTCTGTAGACAGCTTTTTATTTATATAAGCAACAAAGGCACACGTGGAATTTAAACAATTAGAAAACGAAATAATTACATGATGAGTTAAGGCATGTGAATGATGAGACAAATATGATCTCAGTCAAATATATATACAGTCCAGTAGATTACATTAAATAACAAAAATAGCAGAGGAAAGATAACCCTTGATATCTTGTCAACGTTCCGAGCCTTTTCTCTGTTGGCCATATTTCTGAAAAATAAGTTGATCCTCGATGCAGTCTGATTCCCAGTCTAAAATTATAAACATGATCAAAAGACGGTTACTTATGGCAATAGATTGATATGAAATGAATTAAAACAATAATCTGGGCGCAGTTTTTCTGAACAATTTTTTTTTATCTAATTTTACTTTCTAGATATGCATGTATTGGAAACGATTGTTATTATAATAAAAACGAGTTTTATGTACGAAGATAAATTTTTTGGCAAAATTGCTTAATTAAGAAGCATCAAAATGCGAAAAAAAAATTGTTTTTGCGTTTTTAAAAGAATGGTTTCCAGTTAGAACTTGCAATTGTCGTTTCAGGGAAGGCAAAATGTACGTCGTCGCTAAAGCTTCGAATTCTGAACCTTCTTGTACTGACTTTTACTGAACATACAGGATAACTGTATATTTGCCAAGTTACTTGTATCAGATCGAAAACATAAAGACACGTGTAGCAAAGTGAGCGCTGTTTTAATGACTCCTATGAAATCTCCTGTGTATTTTTAAGTTAATATTTTCTTTAAATATTGATAACATCGACGGTACCAATTTTTCTGGATCAGTAACATGTATATAAATTAACTTTCATACTTAAACAGAATTTCTTATAATTAAGCAAAAATTACTGGTTCGTCTTTTAATTTTAACTTAAATAATCGAAGTAAGTTAAGTTTAATGGAAACAGTATGACCTGTCACATTCATTAGACAGAACTCTATTACCTTTTCTGGAAGACTTCGTCTTATATGTTCAGTTTTGTTATTAGTTATATCTACTACATGAGATTGTCTCCTTTGTTCCACACGTGATAAAACGTTAACATATGCAAATTCTATCAATGCTGCAAATACAAAGCACAGACATGACACCATCCACACATCAATTGCTTTGAAATACGATACTTTCGGTAAACCGGAGCTTTGTGTTGTCATAGCTAAAACCGTGAGTAATCCGAGTGATATTCTTGCAGGCGTAGCATCAACACTAATCCAGAATGATACCCATGATAATATAACAACAAGAATGCTTGGCACGTATATCTGCAGCAGATAGTAGTCGTACAAACGATCCAGTTTAATGTTCATTTGTACACATGAGAAATTCACTAAAAATAAAAATGGTTTAACTTGAAATAGGAAACTGTATTTGTACATGTTAAACGCTAATTATATATTAGTTAAGGAATTCTTGAGTGTGTGCAAAGTTGTATTTGTCACTGTATGTACAGTTTAGGATGAAGACAAAAATACAATTTCAAAATATTATAAAACCATCAAAATTATAAAAATCTCAATTAACGTTAAAGTTTGACCCTTTTTTGATAAACTACATTGTTATGTTCATGTATAAATCCTGCGAGAAAAAAAAAACGTGTCTTAGAAACAAATATTTTAATATCTAAGAAAGAGAGAGAGAAATTCATCAACATACTTCCAGCATATTGTTTGTCACATTTGAATGTTTTTATACAATCAAGGCTGAATTGTGATAAAATGATATCTTCTTTCTTTTCTACTGCTTCTTTATACCATTGTAGTACCAGTGTCTCGGACGTGTAGCCATCTAAAAATAAATACAAATAAGAAACAACACCCTATTACCGGCTTTCGGTTCAGTAGGTACAACAGAAACTGTGTAACCGATTGCTCTTAAAGCAATTGTTTTCATTATTGTATACTGCAGACATATGTCTCTTTTTTCGATTGTCATTGCAATACAATGGATTTTTTTGCAATCGTGTACAGCAGAAAAAAGTCAAATAACAAAAATACAGAACTCCAAGGAAAATTCATAACGAAAAGTCCATAATGATTATTAAATGGCAAAATAAAAATCTCAAACAAATCAAACAAATGGAAAACAACTGTCATATTCCTGACTTGGTACAGGCATTTCCTTATGTAGTAAATGGTGGATTAAACCTTTTTTTTTTATAGTTAGCTAAAGCTCTCACTTGTATGACAGTCGCATAGAATTACATTATATTGACATCAATTGATGAAGACTTTGATCTGTGTTACCTATTTTATTTGGCGTACTTATAGCTGGTAATAGGATGTAAATTTTGCTGACGAGATTGTGTTTCAAGCAAACTAAAGTGGAGACATTTTCAAGTGAAAATATCATATCCTACGTAAAATGCAAATAAAAGAAGCTTCAGATGACATAATGGTATTCGTCATCGTCCGTGTGTCAATTTTTTTTCCGTTGAATATTAAAAAGAAACAGCTCGTCTGTAGCCTATTCGCTAATAGAAAACAAATCGGCGTGAATATTTCATATGTAGTCTAGGTAAAGCGCTGTGATTTTAAACCAGCAACAATCTTACATGGCTTTGGCACTATAGTTTGACACCTTGATTAACAAGAATAATATGGAAAGTTGTATTTCTATACTTGTGTATACTTTGTATATTTCAAGTATACTAGTTTTTTTGAAATTACGTGTTTGTTCGGTTACATTTTAGTTTTATTGTGATTGTACTTTACCATGACTAATTAACGCTATAAAACATTGCTCTTTATTTCCATATTTAACCCAGTATGTAATAGTAGATTTTAATTGTAGAAAGGTATGTTAAATATCACATATCAGATTTGTTTAAGTTGACTTATAACTAATATGAGAACGACTATTATCAGCACTGTTGGTAATAACTAAACTGTTATTTGAAATACACATCGTACCATGCTGATCACATTTGAGCTTAGTTATGATTTACTTTTTGAATTAAGTTGATAGCATTTTAAAATTGTGAGTGTGGATATATGTCATGCCATTTTCGCACTATTGACATCCTTTCGGGTATTGTGCTTTTATTCAGTTTTCAATTTAATTTATATTTGATGATGTCTTTCCGTCCAATTTTAAATCTTGCTAGTAGGTATTGAGCTGGATTAAAGTCTATGCACCATTGTCTAAATAAAACAAAGTAAGGAGATGTTGTACGATTGTCATTGAGATGACAAACCGTCAGAGACCTAAGGACAAATATCTGAACAACTTAGCCTTATATTATTTCATTCCTTCATTAAGAATTCATTCTATGGTAAGGAGTATCTTTTGGAATTATAGTGTAACACAATACTTACAGCTTTCTATTATCAACGGACAAATTTGACTGTCTAAAGGATATTTCAGTAGATCAACGTCACACGAAAAAGTTCCAGATATCCTGAAAAAAAAACGGTAAATGCTTATTATAATAACTTGGTATGACAAAACAACACGTCCATTTATTCTCAAAGTGCCAGAACTAAAAGGTGTAATCGAAAGAAAAAAAAAAACAAAACCAATATGAATAATTTTCTAGCTAAAAAAAATATTGGAATGTTGATCTTGTATTGTCATATCGATCATTTACTTATTATTCATCAAAGATACCAGCTACCAGCGGCTCTTTTCACAAAAAATCTTAAGAGTTAAAAAACTGGTAAGTCATACACATTTCAGTATAACTTACGATCAATTTAATTTCAAAATTTCAAAATAACGCTTGATTCCCCATCCCTCCCCCTCCAAACATCCAAATCATCAGCACAATTGCCAACACTCCTATACCATTCGCGCTCACATAGATAGATAGATAGATAGATAGATAGATAGATAGATAGATAGATAGATAGATAGATATTTTTTTCTAAAAATTACGAAAACTTTACAGTCTAAAAATTATCGATAGATAGATAGATAGATAGATAGATAGATAGATAGATAGATAGATAGATAGTTACTTTTTTCTAAAAATTACGAAAACTTTACAGTCTAAAAATTATCGACCTAAAAAACCTCTCCTTCTGTCTAAAATAGATTTGCAGGTTTTGGCACATTTGTATATAACATTAACGTTTTGGGACCCCAACACAAAAGACAGGTTCTCACGATTCGTAAACATATTAAAATTCTCATCTTCACTATTTATGTATTCATAAAGTTCGTTCCTTAAATCGTCATAAAGCAGACATTCAAGTAGTACATGTTCCTCAGTTTCCATCTTACTATCACACATAAAGCAAGTCCGTTCATGTATTGGTAAACGTTCGTAGCGCCCGGTTTCGATTCGTATAGGTGCAACCCCACACCTGGATACCTATCAATTTAGATTTGAAAATTTACAAAAAATTTAATTTGTCACATGATATTTTGTGATAATGCTTAAAACGCGTAAAATAAATAATAATAAACAATTATACCAAAAGTTCTCCAAAACAAAAGAAAATCAGTAATCTGTCAAACCAAAACGAATTTCGGCTGTAAAAGTGATGCGTCTTGTAAGGAAACAGTCAGAATATGAGCGTTAAAGAACCTTACAGCAATTCATGAAGTGACCCGTGGATGCATGACAAAATGGTCCCCTTTCAAAAATCAACCCATTTTGAAGAGCCTATCGTCCTGAATGTGCAAGAAATATTTGTTACTGGGCGTTAATCAAACTAAAGTGAAACAGCTGGAGGAAAAGCAAAGTGTCAAAATTCACAAAACACACAGACGTATCAGCTAACATTCCAGAAAAAAAAGAAGCAAAAGAATAAAATCAGTGAAGATCAAAGCCTTGTTTGATCGGTTTAAAGGGAATAAAATGCCAAAAAATCAAAAACTGCCTCACGAAAACAAGAGCTGAAATAAAAATATTTGTTTTATATCCTACTCTGTAATTTTTTTTCACTGAACACATACCATTGAGGTGTATTGTCCGGTATTTGCCGAGTGACGTCGAAATGTCGTGCGATAAAGTTGCGGAAAGGCATGCGATAATAACCGGAAGCAGTTGATAAATTTTTCATATCAGCCTGCTAAGCACCATTTCGGAAAATATGGAATTCACGTTCATTTAATGGTATTATCATACTGTAAAAATTATAAGTTATTTACTCTAAGTATATGATAAGAAATGTTATTCACGTTGAATAAGAGTGAATATTAGGCTTGTTTTATCAAGGTGTGAGAGGTGGTATCATACATGACGTTGTGCATCACATTCCTTCTTTTCCGTTCTAAATATGGACATATACATTATTGGAGAGGACGATGTTCTCAAAGTGTCAAGATAAAAAGCCTAAATAGATGAATTATTTGGACAAAGGACATTGTTTTTGCATATTCTTACAGTAGCAAGAGTATTTTTATTCCGTTATATGAAATATGATATCATTGCGTATGCCATAATTATATCAATTGTTTGAGTTGTCCTTTCTGTATCAATTGCTTGAAGCAGACTTTTTTGTCTCTGTAGTATCTTATATTTCAAAAAGTATTGCGATAAAATGTAGATTAAGCTATTTAAATTTACACCCTGAACGGACGTTTGCCCCTTCTTGCTTATAATGTGCATGAACACTAAAGTTTGATTGAAATATATGATGTTCTGTTATAAATATGTTGTCAATACTACATAGTAAAAATTTTTACATCACCAGTTTATTGATTTATGATTCCTACAGTCATATTTCAATTTCACTTAACTTAAATAAAAGCGACTAGTTTTATTGAATTCAAATTAGTTTTTTGTTAACTTTGCGTAAATGATCATTCTTTGCAAATAGAACAAATCCCATCAGTAAGCAAACAAATGAAAATCTATTAGTGGTATTTTTCGTACGCCAAAAAAAAACCCCAGAAAACAGCTTAATAATCAATACAATATGTTGTTTCTGTAATGTATGAGTTGCCCAGGATAAAAAGCGAGAAATCTGTTGGATAGAGATAAAACTGTGCCTATCAAAAAGCTATGTGTATCTTCGGATCATAGATTAGTTGTAAAGGTTCTGTAATGTGCATAGATCTTATCGTATATTTCCGTTCCCATTCCGACCGGTCGTGGCTGCGTATTTATACATCCAGCATAGCCAGACGGATGCCCCATTTAGTGATGGTTTTACTGTCGGAACGGTCCAAAAGTGACCGTATTTTATACCACATTTCACTCTTCAGTTCTAATATATAAACCATTCAATATAACATGAGTACATGCTAACTAAAAAATACCTGATGCTGTAAAGTATAGACCCATCGGGTTGTATGTGTAATAATTTATTTGGCACTACTACATTGTGAATAGTTGCTCGTTTCTCATTCAAAATAAACAAGTCCGGAACCCATACTCCGTTAATTGACTTAGTGTTTAGTTGTAAAGCTGGAACACCTTGTATACGGTCGTACTTTAAACGTTTGTCTTTCCATCTTTGTCGCAGAAATATGCTCATTGCAAAATCCTGAAAAGTTGATTAAACTATCTTTTTTAATCATTATACCTTTGTTTTTTTGACACGCACATTACAGTTGAAAATTAACCAGGAAAGTCCCTTGAAACGAGCAAACATGATTATTGTTTATAATTGCAGGTTGTTAAATTTTGATCGATAAAAATGTTGTTTGTTATAGTAAGTAAGTAAGTAAGTAAGTTATTAGTTTATCAAAGTTACCCTGCAGTAAAAATGTGTTTAATTCTAAATCAAATTTCAAATTCCAACTAATGCTCTTATTATGTTTTTGATTTCAAATATGTAAGCCTCGAGCATCACTGACATTAATTGTTAAAATGCACATCTGGTTCAATCAGTAAAATTGGTACCGTTAAAGTTATTATACTGATTATGGTTAGTGAGTACATACTCCCATATAATAATTAAACATCAATAATTGCTTTTCAATATGATTGGTTCTTCTTGCATTGCTTTTCAGTATGATTGGTTATTATTGTTTTTACGACAGTTCATCTAGAAAAGACACTTTTAACGTTAACTCATCACAGTCGGTACGTTTAATGTTGCAGATCATATTATCCATTAGCGATGTAATTTCTTAAAGTCAATATTTTAAATGCATTCTTATGTTAGTAAAACAACCTGTAGCGGCAATCAGATTTCCAGTTTCGATTAGCCGTACGTGTGTTATAAATGTTATTATATGTTCTATAATACGTGTATACATCGGAAATTTTACTCCTATTATAGAAATTATTAGATAAATAGAAATTAAGAATTATAAATGAAATGAGGCCATTCCAACTGTAATGTTTTACCTTTGATAAATCACTCATTGAATCAATGCTCAATATATAAACTTGTATTTCAACTGTCAATGGTTCATCTAAAATAAAGAAACACGACCGATTATAAAAATATAATTGAATGTAGAAGGTATTTGGATGGAGGAAATTGTTCATTTCTTCTTGCTATCATAATTATAATTTTATAATGTACTTGTTTGAAATTAATGTTCTCCGTTGCAGTAAGGTGACTCTCTTCTGACCAAATGTAAAACTAAACAGTTGTAGGTTTGGATTATACTACAACCCCTACATGTAACAGAACGTGTCACTTTAAATTGCATTTGAACTGTGTTAACACAGAACAAGTTCTTGTTGTTTTTATGACAGGTTATTTTGCATAGAATTTTATGAAACTTTAAAATTCATATTGCTTCTGGTCGGTCTGCTTTTCAAATACAAAAATATTTTGAATAGGATAAGAATGACGTAGTATTTAATTATATTGTCTCTTACCTTTCTTCAAACTCATTTAAAGAAACTGTAATTTGAGCCTTGCTTGATCAATTAAATATTTTACATTTGACATAAGTAACATGTATACATTCTACTCACCATTATTATAATTCGGTGGGATGGCAGGATTATAATCATCAAACATTGTTTTCAGTATTAAATCTCTGAAATAAAAGATATCAAAAAATCGATGCAACTATGATATAGAATTTGTCCAAAGTTATGGAAAGAGTTCTAGATGTCTTTTGACATATACTTTGTATTAATAATTTGTATTGTTTGGAAAAATAACCGCAGTACTGGTCGAGGACCAGTTACCGTGTTTTACAAATTACCGTCACTCGCCATTTTTTCAACAACGGAAGCGTTGCGTAACAATAGCAGACTGCTGATATCTTCAGACAAGTATTTTAACTTCATTTGTAAAAGATCCGTTTTTTTTTTAATAAAACAACCCGATGCATTTGTATGCATCTGTCCTAAGTCGTGAGTTAGTGTTTCTCGTTTTTCGTTTTTTATATAGATTGGACCGTTGGTTGTCCTGCTTGAATTGTTTTACACTAGTCATTTTGGGGCCCTTTATATCTTGCTGTTCGGTGTGAGCCAATATTCCGTGTTGAAGGCCGTACTTTGACCTATAATTGTTTACTTTTTACACATTGTGACTTGGATGGAGAGTTGTCTCATTGGCACTCATACCACATCTTCTTATGTCCAGTTAAGATAGGGAAATGCTGAATTGTCTGAGTAATTGGTAGATTTTAAGGGACATACAGTTTACATTTAGAGTATGAAGGAGTTCTTTTAAATCAATTGTCATCATTGGGATGTGTTTCGTTGAATTGGCATGCGTTCTTCTGTTTTTGATACAAAAAAAAAAAAAACAACAAAACATAACATCAATATCCGAATTAAACGTAGATACTATCATTTAAGCTTTCATATATCAAATCAGAGCCTGACTAAAAGAAGTCTGTACTGATTTCTCCCATAAAAAAGAATGTATATCAAAGTACTTCAGCGAACGTACATTTTGATCTCTTTCTTGCGAAAACCTAAGTATTATTTAAAGTCTATTTCGGTAAAAACATTGCGGCAACATCATAAATTACTATATATATTGCAAAAAATGAAAAATGAAAATATATCGATCTTATGACACAATGAACCATTCATTGAGGATTAAGTAAGGGTCTCTATGTTTTGCCTTGTGTTCTATTTGATAATTCAACGTTTGTAAATTAAAACAGTATAGTTTAATCCATCAAATAAAGAATGATCAAATGTTGTGACGTTGATTGTAAAACAGAAAATAAACATTTATACCTGTGTGTATTGTTTACTGCTAATGAGGGAACTAAAATACAAAATGCCCAAAAGATAATGAACAGCATTATACTCATAAGCTCTGCTTGTTTTAATCCTGTAAAATAAACAAAACATACTGTATTTATTTATAAAAATGAACCTCGTGTAGTCTTCTTCTGACATATGTACATAGGAGCAATTCAAAATATCTTTAAACACGTGTTTGATTTTATTAGAGGCTCCAAAGATTCCTTATTGTTTAGATAGTAAAACATGACAAGACGAACGTCATCATCTAAGTTCAGTTGGTTTTTTTTTGTGTTGTTTTTTTCTTTTTTGGCGCCATTTAAATATTCTTTCCAATTTATACAAATGTTAAAATAATAAGTCTGTTTGATTTATGACTAAATCCTATTTGTGTTTATAAAATACAATATGTTTAAACTAAACCTTGTTATTCAATCTTTATTAAACGAGTGATACAATATAGAAAAGCACATTGAACTATGTCAACAATTGTAGATCGCCCATATACAATTTAACATTATTAATGGTCATGTCCCTTGCTTTAAAGGGAAAATTTTGACTTATCATCTTCATATGTTCGTTATATCATAACATGCATTTTCGCCAAGTTTTACCAATGCTTGACCACTGATACTTAAAAGACGAAAATTATGAATTATTAATTTCATTTATTGGATTTTACCAGTGAGATGTGACGTTTTTTTTAATAGGGCATGACGGGAGTTGAATTAATTAAACTTAGTTAGGCGGTATGGGTTCCATGCACATATCTGTTATAACAGATGTGACCGACTTGCACTACAGTGGAATCACGGCTTCTGTTGTTATAGTACACACCAAAAAGTATTAGGTTAATTTGATCTCTGTGCCATAGTTTATCTCATTGACAATCATAGCCAACATCTTTTTATTTTAGAAAAGTCGAAAATCTTGAATATTCTGTAAACAATTTATGAAGCTTGATCAAGACATAGATTCACTCTGATATCGAACGTTCTCTTTTCTACTATTTTCACAAATGAACCGCTAAAATCAGGAATTTGGCATATGACATTTATTTGATATGCTCTGTTTGTATATAATTCAAATCATTATCGAACTATTTCAGCCTTTTGGACTTTCATCTTTAGAATTCCCATTGCATTACATATCTATGTTATTTATATATAAAAATAAGAAGATGTGGTATGATTGCCAATGAGACAATTCTCCACAAAAGACCAAATGACACAGACATTAACAACTATAGGTCACCGTACGGCCTTCAACAATGAGTAAAACCCACAACGCATAGTCAGCTGTAAAATGCCCCGAAATGACAAATGTAAAACAATTCAAACGAGAAAACTAACGGCCTGACTTATGTACAAAATAATGGACGAAAAACAAATATGATATACAGCAACAAAGGACAACCACTAAATTACAGGCTCCTGACCGTTTATATAAATGAGATAAAATAGGGAGAGCTTACTGTATATATAAACATGTAAAAAAAAACCACCAGCAATATTTGACGATATAAGATGATAATGATGATAGCATGGAATTTTAACACCCAGTGTCATATTTACATTTATGTCGGAACAGGACATTGACAATAGGTATGAATAGAACCCTACTTTTTACAAGAAAGTCACGCTAAGTCGGAATTTCACGTCCTATTTCACCAGGTTAACATTATTATACAGGGAGTCTCATTTTTTGAGGGGTCCGATTCCAGATCCCGCTTATTGTTTTGTCAGAATCCCGTATCCCGCATATCATAGTAATAATAGGGCTTTAAATTTCACGTGTCCCATCTGACTTCGTTGCCCGTTTGCATGCAAAATAATTTGACTTTTCACATGTCACGCTTACAAAAAATCGGCCAATCCCGCACCACGCTTTCATCCCAATGAAACCCACTATATAGTTTAATAACTGAACATCACTAGTTAATTATGACTTTAAACTTTGAGATAATTTATAAAAGTTATCGCTCTAAACTAATACCCCTATATATTTACTTGTTTCATAAACTTAGTGAAAAAAAAAAAAAAAAAAAAAAACCAGTTTAAAAACGACAGACCAAAGATCTAAAAAAAAATAGATATTCATTCGGCCAACTTTTCCTACTCTTAATCCTTTTTTTTTAAACATTAATCCGTATCAAGTTAACGTAAAAAGTTTGCCTTGTCTGGTATATTTCTTTTTTAGGATCCGGAAAACTATGTATGCTTTTGTCATTACCTTGTCGGGTACAACAACCGTACGTTTGACAAGTGATTTTCACACTGAATTACGACTTCATTAGTCCCTGTTTGTTTTGGTACTTTGTGGTTTATAAGTATCACGTCGTTTTTAAAATCGGGAAGCCGTCAAGATGGCGTCATGTAAGGAATTTATATTCTTAATTTGAAATCGACGTTGATCTCTTATCTAGGAGAATAAAACGTTGATATTCATGAAATTGTGCTTTTTTATACATAATGAACATAATATCAATTTTCTTTTCATAATTTTTAAATATATATCGTTTAAAACTCAATTTTTGAAAATCTTATATAATCCTTGTTAAATTTTCATTGTTTTTTGAAAGAAAAAAAGTGCCAATGTTAAATGTGTGAACAATGCAGAGAGAACCATTTCCCGCCAAATTTTCAATTAATTATATCTCAAAAACTTATAACAGTCTTTTAAAAAGCTTGTTATTTTGAAACAGAGCATTAATTTATATATAATCCCTGAAAATGACCAGTGATTTAACATAATCACTGAAAATTTTAAAAATTATTTTAAAAATTCTTCAGGGATTATCACAAATACAAAGATCCTTTGTTTGATAAGAATAAATCAACTATAGACAAAATCATGTATTACCCCTTTATGGTTTAAGTGGACAGTTTTCATTCCCTGTCCATTTATCAAATCTTATTAAAGTGAACAGTTTTTCCGGTGACATTCTATTCTATTTAACATTAACTCATAAACCAAACAGTTTTTAAAATTGAAATTAATAATACCAACATAAATGCACAGATCACTTAATCTGCTGTAAAACAAAGGGGATGAAACTTATTGAACATCTATTTTATGTTTTCTTTGTTCCAAACTAAGCAAAGAAATGCTACTAAAGGTACAGAAACACAAACAGAACACATGCTTGACAGATTAAACACAGTTTTGAAGGAGGCCGACATTGTCTGTAATGGTATGATACCGATTCCGCATGTTGATCGTGGAAAAGGAAACCCCAAAAATATAATGGCCATTGTTCACAAAAGGACTGAAAATGATATTGCCTGGCTACGAACCATTTTTTTTCTCAGATAATACACAAGGAATCAATAAGAGGTGACTGTTTGACTTTTTAGCACCTTCAGATGTTTCTGATGAACACTTTCAACTTAGTTCCCTGTAACGTGCAGTAAAATCAGATTCAAAACTAGTAAGTAACGGCTAAGTTTGTTTTGTTTTTTGTTGTTGCAAAATAAAAAAAAATAACAAACAGCAGAGCAAATGTTCAATAGTAGAGGGTCTGGATGGGGATTACAAATAGGGAATAATGGGCAAAAAGTGCAGATTAAAGGTCTAAAAAAATAAAGAAAAGAGAAAAACAGAAAAAAAATATATATAATGGGATGTTAAATATAAAGAAGAGAGAATAAACACATACCATTGAGGTGTATTGTCCGGTATTTGCCGAGTGACGTCGAAATGTCGTGCGATAAAGTTGCGGAAAGGCATGCGATAATAACCGGAAGCAGTTGATAAATTTTTCATATCAGCCTGCTAAGCACCATTTCGGAAAATATGGAATTCACGTTCATTTAATGGTATTATCATACTGTAAAAATTATAAGTTATTTACTCTAAGTATATGATAAGAAATGTTATTCACGTTGAATAAGAGTGAATATTAGGCTTGTTTTATCAAGGTGTGAGAGGTGGTATCATACATGACGTTGTGCATCACATTCCTTCTTTTCCGTTCTAAATATGGACATATACATTATTGGAGAGGACGATGTTCTCAAAGTGTCAAGATAAAAAGCCTAAATAGATGAATTATTTGGACAAAGGACATTGTTTTTGCATATTCTTACAGTAGCAAGAGTATTTTTATTCCGTTATATGAAATATGATATCATTGCGTATGCCATAATTATATCAATTGTTTGAGTTGTCCTTTCTGTATCAATTGCTTGAAGCAGACTTTTTTGTCTCTGTAGTATCTTATATTTCAAAAAGTATTGCGATAAAATGTAGATTAAGCTATTTAAATTTACACCCTGAACGGACGTTTGCCCCTTCTTGCTTATAATGTGCATGAACACTAAAGTTTGATTGAAATATATGATGTTCTGTTATAAATATGTTGTCAATACTACATAGTAAAAATTTTTACATCACCAGTTTATTGATTTATGATTCCTACAGTCATATTTCAATTTCACTTAACTTAAATAAAAGCGACTAGTTTTATTGAATTCAAATTAGTTTTTTGTTAACTTTGCGTAAATGATCATTCTTTGCAAATAGAACAAATCCCATCAGTAAGCAAACAAATGAAAATCTATTAGTGGTATTTTTCGTACGCCAAAAAAAAACCCCAGAAAACAGCTTAATAATCAATACAATATGTTGTTTCTGTAATGTATGAGTTGCCCAGGATAAAAAGCGAGAAATCTGTTGGATAGAGATAAAACTGTGCCTATCAAAAAGCTATGTGTATCTTCGGATCATAGATTAGTTGTAAAGGTTCTGTAATGTGCATAGATCTTATCGTATATTTCCGTTCCCATTCCGACCGGTCGTGGCTGCGTATTTATACATCCAGCATAGCCAGACGGATGCCCCATTTAGTGATGGTTTTACTGTCGGAACGGTCCAAAAGTGACCGTATTTTATACCACATTTCACTCTTCAGTTCTAATATATAAACCATTCAATATAACATGAGTACATGCTAACTAAAAAATACCTGATGCTGTAAAGTATAGACCCATCGGGTTGTATGTGTAATAATTTATTTGGCACTACTACATTGTGAATAGTTGCTCGTTTCTCATTCAAAATAAACAAGTCCGGAACCCATACTCCGTTAATTGACTTAGTGTTTAGTTGTAAAGCTGGAACACCTTGTATACGGTCGTACTTTAAACGTTTGTCTTTCCATCTTTGTCGCAGAAATATGCTCATTGCAAAATCCTGAAAAGTTGATTAAACTATCTTTTTTAATCATTATACCTTTGTTTTTTTGACACGCACATTACAGTTGAAAATTAACCAGGAAAGTCCCTTGAAACGAGCAAACATGATTATTGTTTATAATTGCAGGTTGTTAAATTTTGATCGATAAAAATGTTGTTTGTTATAGTAAGTAAGTAAGTAAGTAAGTTATTAGTTTATCAAAGTTACCCTGCAGTAAAAATGTGTTTAATTCTAAATCAAATTTCAAATTCCAACTAATGCTCTTATTATGTTTTTGATTTCAAATATGTAAGCCTCGAGCATCACTGACATTAATTGTTAAAATGCACATCTGGTTCAATCAGTAAAATTGGTACCGTTAAAGTTATTATACTGATTATGGTTAGTGAGTACATACTCCCATATAATAATTAAACATCAATAATTGCTTTTCAATATGATTGGTTCTTCTTGCATTGCTTTTCAGTATGATTGGTTATTATTGTTTTTACGACAGTTCATCTAGAAAAGACACTTTTAACGTTAACTCATCACAGTCGGTACGTTTAATGTTGCAGATCATATTATCCATTAGCGATGTAATTTCTTAAAGTCAATATTTTAAATGCATTCTTATGTTAGTAAAACAACCTGTAGCGGCAATCAGATTTCCAGTTTCGATTAGCCGTACGTGTGTTATAAATGTTATTATATGTTCTATAATACGTGTATACATCGGAAATTTTACTCCTATTATAGAAATTATTAGATAAATAGAAATTAAGAATTATAAATGAAATGAGGCCATTCCAACTGTAATGTTTTACCTTTGATAAATCACTCATTGAATCAATGCTCAATATATAAACTTGTATTTCAACTGTCAATGGTTCATCTAAAATAAAGAAACACGACCGATTATAAAAATATAATTGAATGTAGAAGGTATTTGGATGGAGGAAATTGTTCATTTCTTCTTGCTATCATAATTATAATTTTATAATGTACTTGTTTGAAATTAATGTTCTCCGTTGCAGTAAGGTGACTCTCTTCTGACCAAATGTAAAACTAAACAGTTGTAGGTTTGGATTATACTACAACCCCTACATGTAACAGAACGTGTCACTTTAAATTGCATTTGAACTGTGTTAACACAGAACAAGTTCTTGTTGTTTTTATGACAGGTTATTTTGCATAGAATTTTATGAAACTTTAAAATTCATATTGCTTCTGGTCGGTCTGCTTTTCAAATACAAAAATATTTTGAATAGGATAAGAATGACGTAGTATTTAATTATATTGTCTCTTACCTTTCTTCAAACTCATTTAAAGAAACTGTAATTTGAGCCTTGCTTGATCAATTAAATATTTTACATTTGACATAAGTAACATGTATACATTCTACTCACCATTATTATAATTCGGTGGGATGGCAGGATTATAATCATCAAACATTGTTTTCAGTATTAAATCTCTGAAATAAAAGATATCAAAAAATCGATGCAACTATGATATAGAATTTGTCCAAAGTTATGGAAAGAGTTCTAGATGTCTTTTGACATATACTTTGTATTAATAATTTGTATTGTTTGGAAAAATAACCGCAGTACTGGTCGAGGACCAGTTACCGTGTTTTACAAATTACCGTCACTCGCCATTTTTTCAACAACGGAAGCGTTGCGTAACAATAGCAGACTGCTGATATCTTCAGACAAGTATTTTAACTTCATTTGTAAAAGATCCGTTTTTTTTTTAATAAAACAACCCGATGCATTTGTATGCATCTGTCCTAAGTCGTGAGTTAGTGTTTCTCGTTTTTCGTTTTTTATATAGATTGGACCGTTGGTTGTCCTGCTTGAATTGTTTTACACTAGTCATTTTGGGGCCCTTTATATCTTGCTGTTCGGTGTGAGCCAATATTCCGTGTTGAAGGCCGTACTTTGACCTATAATTGTTTACTTTTTACACATTGTGACTTGGATGGAGAGTTGTCTCATTGGCACTCATACCACATCTTCTTATGTCCAGTTAAGATAGGGAAATGCTGAATTGTCTGAGTAATTGGTAGATTTTAAGGGACATACAGTTTACATTTAGAGTATGAAGGAGTTCTTTTAAATCAATTGTCATCATTGGGATGTGTTTCGTTGAATTGGCATGCGTTCTTCTGTTTTTGATACAAAAAAAAAAAAAACAACAAAACATAACATCAATATCCGAATTAAACGTAGATACTATCATTTAAGCTTTCATATATCAAATCAGAGCCTGACTAAAAGAAGTCTGTACTGATTTCTCCCATAAAAAAGAATGTATATCAAAGTACTTCAGCGAACGTACATTTTGATCTCTTTCTTGCGAAAACCTAAGTATTATTTAAAGTCTATTTCGGTAAAAACATTGCGGCAACATCATAAATTACTATATATATTGCAAAAAATGAAAAATGAAAATATATCGATCTTATGACACAATGAACCATTCATTGAGGATTAAGTAAGGGTCTCTATGTTTTGCCTTGTGTTCTATTTGATAATTCAACGTTTGTAAATTAAAACAGTATAGTTTAATCCATCAAATAAAGAATGATCAAATGTTGTGACGTTGATTGTAAAACAGAAAATAAACATTTATACCTGTGTGTATTGTTTACTGCTAATGAGGGAACTAAAATACAAAATGCCCAAAAGATAATGAACAGCATTATACTCATAAGCTCTGCTTGTTTTAATCCTGTAAAATAAACAAAACATACTGTATTTATTTATAAAAATGAACCTCGTGTAGTCTTCTTCTGACATATGTACATAGGAGCAATTCAAAATATCTTTAAACACGTGTTTGATTTTATTAGAGGCTCCAAAGATTCCTTATTGTTTAGATAGTAAAACATGACAAGACGAACGTCATCATCTAAGTTCAGTTGGTTTTTTTTTGTGTTGTTTTTTTCTTTTTTGGCGCCATTTAAATATTCTTTCCAATTTATACAAATGTTAAAATAATAAGTCTGTTTGATTTATGACTAAATCCTATTTGTGTTTATAAAATACAATATGTTTAAACTAAACCTTGTTATTCAATCTTTATTAAACGAGTGATACAATATAGAAAAGCACATTGAACTATGTCAACAATTGTAGATCGCCCATATACAATTTAACATTATTAATGGTCATGTCCCTTGCTTTAAAGGGAAAATTTTGACTTATCATCTTCATATGTTCGTTATATCATAACATGCATTTTCGCCAAGTTTTACCAATGCTTGACCACTGATACTTAAAAGACGAAAATTATGAATTATTAATTTCATTTATTGGATTTTACCAGTGAGATGTGACGTTTTTTTTAATAGGGCATGACGGGAGTTGAATTAATTAAACTTAGTTAGGCGGTATGGGTTCCATGCACATATCTGTTATAACAGATGTGACCGACTTGCACTACAGTGGAATCACGGCTTCTGTTGTTATAGTACACACCAAAAAGTATTAGGTTAATTTGATCTCTGTGCCATAGTTTATCTCATTGACAATCATAGCCAACATCTTTTTATTTTAGAAAAGTCGAAAATCTTGAATATTCTGTAAACAATTTATGAAGCTTGATCAAGACATAGATTCACTCTGATATCGAACGTTCTCTTTTCTACTATTTTCACAAATGAACCGCTAAAATCAGGAATTTGGCATATGACATTTATTTGATATGCTCTGTTTGTATATAATTCAAATCATTATCGAACTATTTCAGCCTTTTGGACTTTCATCTTTAGAATTCCCATTGCATTACATATCTATGTTATTTATATATAAAAATAAGAAGATGTGGTATGATTGCCAATGAGACAATTCTCCACAAAAGACCAAATGACACAGACATTAACAACTATAGGTCACCGTACGGCCTTCAACAATGAGTAAAACCCACAACGCATAGTCAGCTGTAAAATGCCCCGAAATGACAAATGTAAAACAATTCAAACGAGAAAACTAACGGCCTGACTTATGTACAAAATAATGGACGAAAAACAAATATGATATACAGCAACAAAGGACAACCACTAAATTACAGGCTCCTGACCGTTTATATAAATGAGATAAAATAGGGAGAGCTTACTGTATATATAAACATGTAAAAAAAAACCACCAGCAATATTTGACGATATAAGATGATAATGATGATAGCATGGAATTTTAACACCCAGTGTCATATTTACATTTATGTCGGAACAGGACATTGACAATAGGTATGAATAGAACCCTACTTTTTACAAGAAAGTCACGCTAAGTCGGAATTTCACGTCCTATTTCACCAGGTTAACATTATTATACAGGGAGTCTCATTTTTTGAGGGGTCCGATTCCAGATCCCGCTTATTGTTTTGTCAGAATCCCGTATCCCGCATATCATAGTAATAATAGGGCTTTAAATTTCACGTGTCCCATCTGACTTCGTTGCCCGTTTGCATGCAAAATAATTTGACTTTTCACATGTCACGCTTACAAAAAATCGGCCAATCCCGCACCACGCTTTCATCCCAATGAAACCCACTATATAGTTTAATAACTGAACATCACTAGTTAATTATGACTTTAAACTTTGAGATAATTTATAAAAGTTATCGCTCTAAACTAATACCCCTATATATTTACTTGTTTCATAAACTTAGTGAAAAAAAAAAAAAAAAAAAAAAAACCAGTTTAAAAACGACAGACCAAAGATCTAAAAAAAAATAGATATTCATTCGGCCAACTTTTCCTACTCTTAATCCTTTTTTTTTAAACATTAATCCGTATCAAGTTAACGTAAAAAGTTTGCCTTGTCTGGTATATTTCTTTTTTAGGATCCGGAAAACTATGTATGCTTTTGTCATTACCTTGTCGGGTACAACAACCGTACGTTTGACAAGTGATTTTCACACTGAATTACGACTTCATTAGTCCCTGTTTGTTTTGGTACTTTGTGGTTTATAAGTATCACGTCGTTTTTAAAATCGGGAAGCCGTCAAGATGGCGTCATGTAAGGAATTTATATTCTTAATTTGAAATCGACGTTGATCTCTTATCTAGGAGAATAAAACGTTGATATTCATGAAATTGTGCTTTTTTATACATAATGAACATAATATCAATTTTCTTTTCATAATTTTTAAATATATATCGTTTAAAACTCAATTTTTGAAAATCTTATATAATCCTTGTTAAATTTTCATTGTTTTTTGAAAGAAAAAAAGTGCCAATGTTAAATGTGTGAACAATGCAGAGAGAACCATTTCCCGCCAAATTTTCAATTAATTATATCTCAAAAACTTATAACAGTCTTTTAAAAAGCTTGTTATTTTGAAACAGAGCATTAATTTATATATAATCCCTGAAAATGACCAGTGATTTAACATAATCACTGAAAATTTTAAAAATTATTTTAAAAATTCTTCAGGGATTATCACAAATACAAAGATCCTTTGTTTGATAAGAATAAATCAACTATAGACAAAATCATGTATTACCCCTTTATGGTTTAAGTGGACAGTTTTCATTCCCTGTCCATTTATCAAATCTTATTAAAGTGAACAGTTTTTCCGGTGACATTCTATTCTATTTAACATTAACTCATAAACCAAACAGTTTTTAAAATTGAAATTAATAATACCAACATAAATGCACAGATCACTTAATCTGCTGTAAAACAAAGGGGATGAAACTTATTGAACATCTATTTTATGTTTTCTTTGTTCCAAACTAAGCAAAGAAATGCTACTAAAGGTACAGAAACACAAACAGAACACATGCTTGACAGATTAAACACAGTTTTGAAGGAGGCCGACATTGTCTGTAATGGTATGATACCGATTCCGCATGTTGATCGTGGAAAAGGAAACCCCAAAAATATAATGGCCATTGTTCACAAAAGGACTGAAAATGATATTGCCTGGCTACGAACCATTTTTTTTCTCAGATAATACACAAGGAATCAATAAGAGGTGACTGTTTGACTTTTTAGCACCTTCAGATGTTTCTGATGAACACTTTCAACTTAGTTCCCTGTAACGTGCAGTAAAATCAGATTCAAAACTAGTAAGTAACGGCTAAGTTTGTTTTGTTTTTTGTTGTTGCAAAATAAAAAAAAATAACAAACAGCAGAGCAAATGTTCAATAGTAGAGGGTCTGGATGGGGATTACAAATAGGGAATAATGGGCAAAAAGTGCAGATTAAAGGTCTAAAAAAATAAAGAAAAGAGAAAAACAGAAAAAAAATATATATAATGGGATGTTAAATATAAAGAAGAGAGAATAATTTGCAAAATAAATAAAGAATAGAGAAATATGATCTAAAACATTAAATAATAAAGAAACGAGGGACACTCCATCCAGACCCTCATAGTAGATGTCATCCAATAAATAATTTGTATGAGAATATATTGTGCTTAAAATTTTAATATTCATGGTACTAAGGATGTTTTAATATGATTTTATAGAATAACTTATTTAACTTTTATTCATTGTCTCTTCGCAGTCGGAAAGCTGACCCCGGTTTGACCCCATTTCTTAAAGCAACAATGGAAGTCATGTGACTACCATATTTGGGCATTTTTTGGGTCATTTTTTCTTCAACTGAAATGAGTCTGTTTCCTCCAAAAAGTCATATCAAATGAAATCAAAGCATGCTGTACCTTAAAATGCAAATTGTGTATACTTTTTAAAAGTTCTAACATACAAATTGTTTTGATTAGGCGTACTGAATTAGAATAAGAAGCCTTCAAATCCCAGGTCGTCACTCGTCGCGTCAATTTTTTTTCAACACATCAGTTGAAATTTCTTTCCTAACTTCTGGGGAACCTATGCTGAATTTAAGATATGGGATGAGGCTTTTTATAAACTGGCTCGTGTCAAATTTGTGCCACTTAATACGCTGTAATACGCAAATGTACCACTTTGATGTGTCGATATTTCCGACGAAGCGGTTCTGATAGTAATTTACGAGTTACGTCCCTTTGTTGACACTTTTCATGAACAAACTTATTTGTACTATTATATATATTAAGCGCCATATGCTGTTATTTACAAGTGAATATTATTAAAATAATTAATTATCTTTTTACTAATTATATTTTGATACTACAGACATATGTAAAACAATTATAGGTAAACACATTTTATCATTTTTAAAACAGTTTCAGAACTGAAATAGGGCTTTAGGGACCGTTCAATATTTACCAGATGGATGGGCCGGTGCATTCTTAATATTATTTCATTAAAAAAGCTAGTGCCCATCCTTTTAAAGTCCTTGCCCATCTAAAAAAACTATAAAAGAGTGACGAAAGATACCAGAGGGACAGTCAAACTCATAGATCGAAAACAAACTGACAACGTCATGGCCAAAAATAAAAAGACAAACAGACAAATAATAGTACAGATGACACAAGATAGAAAACTAAAGACTAAGCAACACGAACCCCACCAAAAACTGGGGGTGATCTCAGGTGCTCCGGAAGGGTAAGCAGATCCTGCTCCACATGTGGCACCCGTCGAGTTGCTTATGTTATTACAAATCCGGTAAATAGTCTAATTCGGTAAGTCACATTCGTGAAAAGGGAAGGGTATTGTAGTTACGACATAAGGAACATATCCGATATCATCTGTGAAACGGTTATTCCATAACGGTCAACCAACTCGTGATGGCGTCCGTAAAATTTACGAAGGGATGACCTCAACTTCACTATTTGGAACTATA